ATGGCATACTGTTTAATAATAAGCAAGTGTTTATTTAAATTAAAAGGGATATAAAGGAAATATTTATCTAAGTTGATATTGTTAGTAAAAGTAGAAATATTAACAAAAAAATATTTAAGAAAAAAATAAATAATAAGTAAATCCCTTATACTTAAACTACCTACGTATAATGTAGAAAAGTCGTTTTTTATACATACCCCTTGGACGTAAAGTGTGGCATGAAGGGAAAGATTACTAAGATTCCATCCATCGGCAATGAAAGCGATATACCAAGTATACAGAACATACCAAAGTATTAGAACATGACAAACAGTAGTAATATGGTCCGAAAAATATGCAATTTTTTGTCGAACTGTCAACGTGTTTGCTTTTGTTTCGTTGGGCTTTGTTTCCATTGTTGCTTTTGTTTGCTGTTTGTTATAGCTTGGTCACTGTTGAAATGGCATCAAAGAAAGCTTCAGTTTTAAGTTATACCTCTTCAAAGTTTATCATTTAGGCGAATGCCAGAATTGCGGATGAATACAAAGTTGCCTTATCAATTAAAGAAAACTTTGAGTTGATAAATTGCACGTAGTACGAACGTACGCGTATTAACAGTTCATTTTTTTTTTGTAACGATGTTAACAAATTTTATATTGGATTTGGAAAATAATTGATTACTTAAAATAAATACAATTATGGGCGTATCCAGTTTTTGACTTTAAGGGTGGGGGTAAATGAGACACACAAAATGCAGCTAACTTAAATCAAAAAAATCTGAAATTTATGACAGTCTGATTATCTGTTTTATTTTTATTACTCCTGATGCTCTAATCCTTTGGAATTCCTTGTCCAGATGTGTGTACCTATGAGGGATTACACAGATTGATAAATCAAACACTAAAATTTTAATTAGAGCATTAAATTAATTAATTTGGAAATTCGAAAAAGGTTGTTAAAGGTGTATATTTGGAGCGCGGCGCTGTACGGGTGCGAAACATGGACGGCGGGCGTGGTGGAAAGGAAAAGGTTAGATGCTTTCGAAGGTGGTGTTACAGGCGAATGATACCGTGGATGGAGAAGGTTAGAAATGAAAAGGTATTAGAAAAAATAGAAGAACAGATAACTATGGAAGTCAATAAAAAATAGGCGAGATAGGTTAGTAGGACACCTTTTCAGGCATAAAGGTCTAGTTAGAGACATATTAGAGGTAGAAACGGGAGTTAGGAGGGGTAGAAGTAGACCGGACGTTAGGAGGGGTAGAGATAGACCTAGATTAATGGGGTGTTCTAGTTTTAGGGAAATGCGAAGATTAGCTCAGGATAGGAAAGAGTGGAAGTGCGTGGCCAACCAGTCTTAGGACTGACGACCTTATGATGATGATGATGATGATTAAATTAACACTAAATGTCCACTAAATACTCTTATTTCAATAACAGTTGTAGGAATGTTAATATTAATACTTTGTTTTTTTAAATACATAATTGCTGTTAATACTACGTCGTAGAAGATTGCTTTTCAGTCACCATTTTTAATGTAACTTTACAATTACATACCCTCAGGTTGAAAAACCCCCAATCAGCGGCCGAAACGTTAGTGAATTGTTAATAAAAGTGCCTTTCATTAGTTCGGAATTGTATTCCTTTCGACATTTATTATTTTATATTTTGATGACAAAAAAATGTGTATTTCTCTCTCTGAAAAAAACCCAGACAGGGGAGTTGCCTCCCTTTTTTACTAATAACTACTTTTTTTCTTAAGTTCAACACTAAAAATGTTTTTTATGTAATAAACTCAGAAATTAGTGGATAAATTATTACTTATAAATAATTCGATTATTAGTGTAAAATAGCAGAAATGTCAAGAAAATTAAAGCTAACTTTAACTAACAACAAACAAGTCTAATTAATAAAATTATAATAATTGTAATGTATATGTAACTCAACCATTTCGTATGGTAGACGAGGCCTCATCAATGTTAACGTATCCTGTCCAATTAAAACAACGACGCAGCTTATAGAATTATATATAATATGCACGCAAACACGCCATGGCGTGCTGATGAAATCTAATAAAATCGAAATCTAGTTGTGATAAATTACTGACCAAAAATATATACTGTACTTAAAAGAAATTGATTGCATTCTTTTTGGATTCCTTTTCGGGATCAGAATGATAGTAATATTTGAAGTAGATTCATTTTGCTTTTATTTATCATTTTGATATCCTTTCTAAATCAAGGCTTTTAAAACGAGCTACGTGAGGAAGATAAGAAATTATTATTATTGTTATCGTCAAACAATTGTCGTACAATTTTAATTACACAAGTATTCTCTGATAAAAGCAATCTATTTTTCCTTTTTTTCGTGGAAGCCTTCAATCATTCCTGATTGATAAACTTAAACACCCAAAGAAAAATTAGGGTTTCATTTTTCTATTAAAAAGTAAAGAAGGTAGTGAAGACGTGAATATTACTAATGAGGAGGATAGCAAAGAGCATAAGTGCGATACTATTGTAAAAAAACTAAATCTGTATTCAACTTTCCATTAGATGAACAAATTACTACAGAAGACATTAGATATTCTCGACTCTAATTAAGCCATATACATATTTATCCGTACAGAAGTCTAAAATTTACGTAACACATTATGAAAAACTATAAATTATTTATACTATAGTACAATGAAAGTAAAGTCAATGTGGCTGATGGTCTAATAAATAAATTGAGATGATTGAAACAGTGTGTTCGTCTCAGAAAATTGGAAAAACAATATTTTTAACTGTGAATCTTTTTGCAAAGGGTAGGTACATCAGTAGGTATAAATATCTTAAGATTATATTTGATTATAATTTAAAATTAAAACATCTTAAATTAGAAACATTACACTACATATAACATGCCATTGTTCATTGTTCATAGCATAGCGAATTAAGGGGTGTTAACGTAGGGAGAGTGCATTCAAAACTACTATCTGGCCTATCATTAATTTAGTTTATTTTAAAAAATTGCAACCAAGATTGACAAGAAAAGATTTTATTCGATCCCCTTAGATTACGTGACAATAATATACATACAATTAATGGCTTTATGGTACTTGCTACAGTTATGATGTTGCAAGAAGCCAAATTCTGCATATAAGGCGTTCAGTTTTTTACCAAGGTGGCGTTCTTGGTTTCATGAGTTGGGAAGGGGGTGAGTTTTATTAAAAATGTTGATTAAATTAGAAATTCAAGAAAATACCGACTCACGATCAGACGCTTGGCAACTAAAGTGTTAGAGAGGTCTCACAACTCCCCCCTCCACCCCTTCCTCTGTGCGCCTCTGACAAAAACCTCAAGTAGTAGCACGGCTGATAAACTGGATTTTATAAAAATTATATTATTGTTGGTTATTGGATGAAATTGTGCGCTACATTGTACCCTGTGTCGATTTTTTATAACATTTAATTATGATGTGTTTGTATAAGAAATAAAAAAAATGGTTACTCATCGTCAGTCATAATATGGCGTAAACCCTAATAAAAACATCCCAAAATATTATTTCNGCGTCTATATAGAAGTTTCAGTTCAATAAATTTAAAGTTTTATAATTGTTTATTGGAAATTAACAAAAATTGTTAAACGCAAAGATAAGAAATTATTAATTATGATGGACTAAGGTAAATTAATGCGAGTGCGCGAGGCCTCTAAAAGAGCGAGGCGCCGGGCGGTTGCCCTGCTCGCCACCCTCAAAGGCCACCCCTGCTGATACTCAATATAAATCTTTCTTTTAGTTTTTGAGAAGAAGTTTGAAATTTGGAGTACAACATTTAATGTAAAATAGGAGAGGATTTTTTAAAATATATAAGCGCAAATGCGAACCCACATTGAAAGGAGGCTGAAAGGGAGGGACATGAGGGAGGAGATAGGGACATGTACTACACTAAATATTTATGGGATTCAATTATTTCCGCCCTAATCACAAAAAGGATCGTACCGCCACTGCAAAGAAGAGACGGTCGCTGGGATTTATAAAATATGGGTCAAAAATTATCGACGACTACATTAAACTAATTTTTTGTATTCCTCGGGAACAGCACTTTTTCTCCTGAATAAAAGGTGCCCTATGTGCTTTTCTGTACCCTTGACAATGTATCTACAAAAGTTAATGATAATCGATTGAATAGTTAAGGCGTGAAATCGGCCACAAAAAACTAATTTTTATATCCGTCGGGAACAATATTTTTTCTGGATAAAACATACCCTATGCCTTTTTATGTACCCCTGACAATGTGAACACAAAATTTTATGATGATTGAGTAGTTAAGGCTTGAAAAACTTACAAACAAGCAACTCACTTTCGCATATAATATTAGTTAGGATTTTTGATCTCCAAAATATCGATTATTTTGTGTAGTTTTCTTCGGTTTGTAAATGCGTTAACTACAAACTGTGGATAGTTTGTAAGCTGCAAATTTCGAATAGTGTGTAAACAAACTAGGTAGTACAAAGTCCAAACTCTCTACAAGTTCTAGTTATTTTGGTGGAATAGGTACCTAAACTTTTAAAAACTCTTACCACTTTTTCAAGTCGCAAGAGACTTTACTAAAACGTCCAATCACATCTAAAAACGCTCACACATTACATTGTCTTTATAAAAAGTTATAAAACTCATGGACACTAGTAAAAATAGATTTTATCAATTGTTTATACATTTATGCTGGGACAGTAACAGTTTACCAATTTTTTTAAAAGACGACATTACCGAAATAAGGAAAACGTTTCAGTCACAGTTTACAACATTTCTTTTATCCGTTAATTCGCTACTTATTTAGTAACACACGATTACGTGATATTATCTCATTCTGAAACTACTTATACGAAACGTTACATCGTAAACACGAATCCGAGACAGAGAGACAGTGAATGTCCTTACCGTCCTTTTACGATTGTTAACCTAACCTTAAAAGCCGACCTCTTATCGTTGTTTTGGAAGGGGCAAAATTCCAATTAGAAACAATTTGTGGCGAAGACTTGATAACAATGATCACGGGCGCAACAACAGGGGGTCCCAAAGTACCTGGGCATCTGGGATTATTCATTAAAAAACCGTAGATAAAAAAATTAGCACGAATTAATGCTGACCCAGTTGGTAGGCGAGGAAAAGGCTGAGGCATGGGGGGTGAGGGGGGACAAGTACTCTAACTAAATGTTCATCTCTGGATGGAATTCAATTATTTTCGCCCGGACTCCAGAATGTATTCTTACAGCGTTGTCCCACGATCCGTGTAGAATTTTCTACCATACCCGCCCCAAAAGTACGATTTTTCCTGATCCGGGTGTTTGCCTCCCTACTGCCCAGGTGTCAGATACTACTTACATTTCTTTTTTATTGCAAAAGGTTCTATTTTTAGTACTTGTTGTTTGAATACAGTGTCTGATAAAAAAATACAACACCAAAATTGTTTAATTTAAGTCAAAAAAAATAAATAATATAAATATCACAAGCATAAGTGGAATTAAAAAAACTTGTTTTGCTCCTTAGCAGTTATAATCGGTGCCCCTTGTCTTTTTTTAAGTTACACGTATATTAGATTAGAAAATTAACCTATCGGACCAATTAATA